AATCGAACCCAGGGCCTCAGGCATGCAAGGCAAGCGCTCTACCACTGAGCCACCTTCCCAGCCATCAGTGACCATCTTAAGGGGCCCGCTCACTCTCTTTTCCTCTGTTAATGCTTTATCCTGCAGATGAATACATACTGACCAGCTCTTACCCTGGCTTAATGTCTCCATATAGTGACTGGAAATGCTAATGCTAACGGACCACCCCCTCAATGGCAGGACACATAAGAAAGACCCTCTTGAAATAAAGCGCAAATGATCACAAACAGCCCAAACTAGATAAGAGGATCTTGGTGGACAGAACAAATAAAAGGGCTTTTAAGGGTAGGAGGGTAGATGGGTGGGTAGCTGGATTTTTTTTCCCCCCTCAGGCATTCCGTAGGGGAAGATATCAAGAAAACACAAAATTGAAAGAAAGATGGAGGTGGATGTCAGAGGAGGTGATGGGGGAGCCGAAGAGGGAGAGGGAAGAGAGTCTTCCTTTAGGAGACAATGTGACAGCCTTACCATCTATGTTTTTAAGTGTGTCCCGTCGCTAAGAGGCAATCTCTCTACCTTGTGACCTTTGTTTTCTCTGCCCCATTTTACAGTATCTCCCCTCACCAGCCTCTGTAATGGCTCAGTGTTTACCCATCATGGGTCTGAATGCCTTCCTGGTCTCCATAGTTTAAGTGCCTCTCTACCTCTTTCTCTGTTCCATGCTTCCTTCTTCTCTTCCTTACTTCTCTCTTTTAGTCCTCTCTGTCCTCCCAGACTTTGTTTCTCTAGTCTTCTTGCCTCCTTCCATTTCAGTTCTTTCCCCTACTGCTCCCCCTTCTCCTCGCCTCCCTCCTGTCCCTTTTCCCCTTTCTTTCTTTTCTCCTCCCTCTTCCTTCCCTTCCCTTTCCCCTTTATCCTTCTCGGCCCTCCCTAGCCTTCCGTCTCTCCACATTCCCATCCCTCTATCCCCTAGCCTTTTTCCTTTCTCTCCTCTCTTCCCTCACCCTCCCCCCTTCTCTCTGTCCAGGTCCTTGTTTGTCTGTAAGCTCCAATTTCTTGCCTTATAGATTTACCTGCAAAACAAGACACTGCTCCTCTTGCAAAACTGTTTAAGAAATCCATATTCTCTCCTTTCATTCCTGGGGCATTTCAGAAATGATATTCCTCCCCCATCTACCCCCGTCAAAATAAAATGAATCCAGTCAGCTCCTGCTGTGTGTCCTTAAATTCATTCCCTCTAGCTTCGCTGGTTTGAAAGCCTGTACCCTAGAAGGGGCCTCCTGCATTTGCTGGCAACCCTGCTTGAGTCTGATCGCCACAGATAGTGCTTTGGAGTGAAAAAAAAAAGGGGGAAAAACCCTCTCGTTGGAGATTTCAAAACAGATTCTACCAGCTTTCAAATCTGTGCACTTGCGGAGTGGCAGGGTTTGAGGGAGAAAGGTTGAGGACTTTGGGGTGTGGGTGTTTGTCATAAACAAATAAGCAACAGAATTTATATATGTATAAATTTGGGCTTCCCTTGTCATGTTTGGTGTCTTTCTCCCTGGCATGGAGTGTGGGTGCTGTGTAAGTCTGACTTCTCTCACACTTTTGCTGGGATTTGGTGTGTGTGTGTGTGTGTGTGTGTGTGATGGAATTGAGGAGGGGGGAATGCTGTGTTTTTGATCTGATTCACTTGACAGATTATTTGAATCCAGCCCACCTTTCCGCACACGTCAAACAGATGGGATCATTGTTAAAAGCCTGGAGAGCCCGGGCTGAGCAGTGGGTAAGACAGGGAGGGGGAGGCAGGAGGGGCAACCGAGGGGAGGGAGGGGCACCTTCCAGGAGCTTTGTGTTTTCACACATTGGAACTGACAGGAGTCCTTCTTGCCTGTGGGAGGGGGAGTGTTTGGGGGCATGGGGCTGATGGGGGGGGGATGGAAAGGGAGAGAGGTGGGGTGTTGGTGGGCAGGGTTATGATGTCACAGCCAAAGTTACAACAGGAGGAAAACACAGAAATGGTTCAACATTTTTTTTTTAAACTTTGGGCTGCCAAGAGCTGAAGGAGAGTGGTGAGCAGAGGAATGAAGGGGAGAGAGAGAGAAACTAAACTGGAAGCTTGAGTTTTGTGTTGCCTCTTGAAACCTTATGAATGGATTACTAGCAGCTGGGAGCCAGGAGAGACCTATAGGGGATTCAAGATCACTTACACAGTAAAAGGGGGAGAAAAGCAGGCGGAATCCTTCTTTCTTGCTGTGTATTCCCTCCTTCCTGAAATGAATGGTAGGAATCCTTTTTCTGAGGGTCCTTGGGATGGCATGTGGGGAGGAGGAAATGGATTTCTCCTTTTCTTACCTGTCTTCCCGTTCCTAAATACGGCTCTCCCCTTCCTTCTCTCTCTCTTCTTCCTTCCTCTGCTTTTCTGGTTTTCTCTATATAACCCCCCCCAACTCTCAGCCTCAAATTTTATCCATAAAGAATTGAGTCAGAAAAGTGAGGAGATCTAAGGCAATGACACAAGAAATGACCATTCAAGGGCCGAAGGCTAGCTGCTTAGTAATATGCACGTGTTTCTTTGGGGACTGGCCTTGAGGCTCCAGAAGATGCTACGTGGAGAAACAGCATGCTGGGGACAGAGGGCATAGGGTATAGAATTTTTAAAGCAGATAAGTCAGTCACTGGTTGGGGAAGTGAAGTTTAGAAGATCATGAGAAGATCTAAAGCAGGGGAGACAGTGTGATCTGGCCCCAAAGTATGTATGTGCACAGCATGTTGCAGATGGGCGGCAATATAAGCACTGATCTTAAAAGTGGAAATAATTTTTCTTACTACTTGAAAGAAGAATCCAGTAGATTTCTCTACCTGTTTTCACCACCTGGGGTCAAATATGCTTGTGTTGAGAATTCTGAAGCATGCTGTATATGTGTTGTGTGTGTGTGTGTGTGTGTGTGTGTGTGTGTGTGTGTGCACGTGCACATGTGTGTTCATTTGTGTACACACACATGCATGTAAGGGATAGGGACGCTTTTAGAAAACTAGCAGCTAGCACCTGATCAATCAGCACAGTGGTTAAAGTCACAGTATCAGTTCCTTATTCTAACCATTCATTACAAGTCAATTAGGGAATATACTTGCTTGACTTTCCATGTTCAGTTTTGTAAATGACTTATTTTGAACATCTCAATTGTTTATTTGCTCATTCAGCATATGGTGACTTTTACTAACTTCAGATTGAGAAACTTCTTAGAAAAAACAAGATCTCTGTCCTATGAATGCCTGGCATTTCCATTTACTGCTCTTCACAGTAGGCTAATTGATTTCTTCTTTCCTCTTTATGTCCAATAGGAAGTGAATCTGGATTCTTTTTCTTTTAAATCTGAAATGACTGAAATCAGAAACAATACCTAATAGTAACAAGACAAAACAAAGCAAAAAATTTGCAAATGGTTCCTAAAGAGCTAGTATAGGCTTATTAAACAGGAGTGTGTGTATGTGTGTGTGAGAGAGAGACAGAGAGAGAGAGAGAGAGAGATAGAGAGAGAGGGAGAGAGAGAGCACAGAAAAAGAGTGCTCCAAAACAGTATTGATTGTTTGTTATTGATTGTGTAGGCTGCGGTTGCTGGAAGAGAAAGCCTGAGATGTTTACTGGGCAAACCAAGAGCATCCTCTGTCCCCTTCGCTTCAGTGAGGTGGGGAGGTTTTCAGGAAGGGAGGAGGGGACAGGGAGTAGGTGGAGTGAAGCACCAAACTTATTAGCTTTGACATCATCATTGTCTTTAAATGAGACAGACAGGAAGATAATTACAGGCAGAGAGACAGGGAGAGAGAGGGAGAAGGGGAGCAGGGGAGACTGCTGGGACAGATCCCTTGAACTATGTGGTCTTTTTTCTCTGTTTTCATCTTTGCAGGGACCCACGAGGCTCCCAGGAGGTGAATTCAAGGGCTCTCAGCCTCATTTGGTCAAGGGAACAGCAGACAGGCAACCCAGAGGAGAACTTTACAGAGACTTCCAACATACCAACAAGTTGGAAGGGGATCCACAAAACCTTCAGCAATCAACAACCCCAGGCACCAAGCTGAGGGGAACATTCTAACCTGCACTGGCAATTGGGAGCTGGATGAAGCGCTGGCTGGGGACTTCGGGAGAGTGAAAGTTAAGTATCAGCTTGGATGTTTGTGCCCCTAGATTTTTTTTTTTGCCTTTTTAGATAGTAAGTGTCCAATCGTATGTCTCTGTAGAAAAGTTTTTTCTAGCTATTTGATTCCAGCTGAGCATACTTTTGGTTTAAGAGTGACAGGAAGAGAAGGAATCTCCCAGGGAAGGAAGGAAAAGAAAGAAAGGAGAATTAGAGAATAAGATCACTTTTGAATGACTTCAGGTAGCAGAGCGTTGTGTGCTTGTGAGTGTGTATTTGAGAGAATTTGGCTTGTAATCATAAGCTTCCTTCTGTAAAGAAGGAAGGAAGGAAGGAGGAGGAGGAGGAGGAAGAGGAGGAGGAGGAAGAAGAAGAAGAAGAAGAAGAAGAAGAAGAAGAAGAAGAAGAAGAAGAAGAAGAAGAAGAAGAAGAAGAAGA